CGCTAGTCTCGCTCCCAAATTCTAAATACAGAAAAAGTTATACCCAAATTAGTGACGAATGTTCACGTTATGTCAATTAGTTATGTATCATTTCTTCACCTAAACCAATTCCTATCGATTTCTCCTATTTTGTAAGACATGGATTACAACATATTAAAGAATAATGAGCTTGGTACCACATGACTAATTGATTGAACGATCAAAGAGAATAAGTAAAGGATCGAGTCTAAACTCATATTATGTGTTATACACGTGTAATTGTAGGTCGAGACGAGGACATTGTACCATTACCACCGGGAACCGATCACTGTGAGTAGTAGTACAAAAATGTACATTTTTTTTCTACCATTGACAATTATTGTCACTAATGCTCTGTTCTTTGTAAGTATTATACGAACATTTATGACAATTGGGAAGCAATGTGAACTTATATGAACGCTGAAAGATTCGCGTACGTCGGTATGATTTCGGAATCCTTATGTTCTGTTAATGACGAATATTAGCCCTTTGTTATTTATTAGCATACTATGTTATTTCTTAAAGAATAAGTGGAACTTATGTTCATCCTTGAAGAATGATATTTGTGTGAATCTAAGATTATGTTACGAAGGGACCCAAGAAGTTTAGAATCTATGATATGAAAGTAAAGGTTTACCATCAGATTGCAACCCACATAAGAATATGAATTATTCTATTTTGTTAAGTGCATGATAATGACATGATATAACAAGAAAATGTTCTGGTTTCTATTAACTTAATGATTATTCATATATGTAGAAGTATTCACACATCTTTAGCACAAGGCCCCTACCCAGGGGTAATAATATCGTGGTTCAAATAATTAAGTTACAAGTTAATGTATGGTTTAAGTTTAAGCCTGTTATTAAGTTTACGTATGCTATAAGTCAAGAATGCTACAAACTCAAGAATGTTACAAGTTTATATATGTGACAAGTTCAAGCATGTACAAGTTTAAGTAAGGTTACAAGTACAAGTATATACAAGTTTAAATATGTTACAAGTTTTCAAGTTTAAGTACGTTATAAGTTCAAGTATGTTACAAGTAGACACATGGTTACAAGTTCACGCATGTTATAAGCTCAAGTATGTTACAAGTTTTAAGTATGTTACAAGCTTACGTATGTTACAAGTTTAAGTGCGTTACAAGTTTAAGTATTTTACAAGTTTAAGTACGACACAAGCTTAAGTATGCTACAAGATGCGTTACAAGCTTACCTATGTACAAGTTCAAGTGTACTATAAGTTCACAATGTGAGGAATTTCTTTATGGATGAACTAACAAGAATGCTTTTTATTGATTTGCTAGCGCTATTAAAAGGCTAAGTATAAGTAAGTATGAATTCTGATTTCTGTTAATGATTCAAGCATAATGAATATGTATGAATTTATTTTCGTTTATGTATGACATTACATGTGTGGTTTGTCAGTAAGACCTAATGATTATTGGTATGGAACAAAGTGCTACTTGGAACTAAGTGCTACATTGTGAGCCACCGCTAGAGTCCATGTGAGACACTCTTGAGTCCATACATATGTGAAAGTTATGAGGCTTATAGCCATCTGTATAAGTTGTTATGAAATGAAACAAAGTGCTACACGGAACTAAGTGCTACATTGTGAGTTACCTCAGAGTCCGTGTGAGACACCTCTTGGGTTCATATATGCATGTCCAAGGGCTTCATTGCCAACTTTTCAAGGGCTTCATGCCAACTTTACAAGGGCTTTATGCCATATGTTCAAGGGCCTTAGTGCCATATGTTACAAGGGCTTTATGCCACATGCTTCAAGGGCCTTAGTGCCACAAGTTTCAAGGGCTTATAGCCACCATGTTTCAAGGGCCTTGTGCCACCATGTTTCAAGGGCTTATAGCCACCATGTTTATGTTGCAAGATTGAACTTTAAGGCCGTTATGTACGTAGCACAGAATCAGACTAACTATGTGAACTCTACATCTTTATATGCATTGCTATGTGTCATGTTTCATTTTAAGCATCGTTTAATTTATGTATTACTATTCACTGAGCTTGGCTCACTCTGTCTAATGTCTGTTTCTGTAGGTAACCAACCAAGTGGTCAGTCCTAGTCATGACACCTGCTTTCTTTTGTCAACCTTCGTGGGTTCAGCACTGCACGAAGCCATTTATTTTTGTAAAGTCTATTGACAATGTTGGCTTAATTTTGATTACCCATTTAAAGTTAAAGAGGTAGAACTTCAATGATTTTTATATATAGGCCCAATGATGGGGCTGGGTCTGTACATATGGTTGTTTATCACGATGCTACAACATATGGTTTGGAGCTTTATCTATTTTCCATGATGAATTGTGATGTATAAGAGGTCCTGGCATGTAGATGGTAAGCTCAATGTTGAATTTATATGTATAGTTATTTTCCTACTTTATGCTTCCGATGAGGCCCCAATGTTATTTACTACAGAGGTTAAGTGTTCGTTTTTCAAATGGGTCATGCCCAAACTTTTAGGGGCGGGTTTGGGGCGGACACCACCAATCGCGCATTTCAATTCATGATGCGCGAGAAGCGCGAAGTTGTACAATTCAATGTAAATGGAATGCACAAGTAAACACATAAAGCCTAGAACATTATCATGTAATGAATCAAGAGCGTCGCAACCGGGAATTAAGGCACGATTCATCACTTGAAGTATGAAACGTCCCTCTTTTCTTGTGTTTGGACTAACACCTATTCAAACATGATGCAAGCAAGAAACATGGCATGCACAATGCTATGTAATGCAACCTTAGCATGCAAACATACAACTACAATGGCATACTCAATGCAACTAGCAACCTATTCATACACAATGCCGGCATAAAAACATGGCATACACAATGCTAAAATGCTAAGAACTAGATGGCATACTCCAATGCAAGGCAATCTATGAGGGTTCTTTAACACAATGTAATGCATGCATGCACAATGCAATGCAACAGAGGTAACAATGTGCATATGCACCAAATATGCAACAACATGCAAACCATATACTCGATGGACTTAAACCGAAATGGACAGACCTCAGTCATGCCAAAACAGTGGCCATTAATGCTAAAATGAAGGCACCGAAAACACATATTAAGCATGCATGCCAATGGCTACCAACTAAGGCACTAAGGTGCAAACTCTCAAGAACACTTAAGAAGTGAAAAACATGGAAGTGTAGCAACACTAAGTGCACTGAAATTAGATAATAATAGATGCAAATCATTTTAAACAACATGAGTATGGCATGCAATGGTTCTTAAAGCCTAAGACATGCAAAGAAGATTACACATGAGGCATGCAATACATGGCATAAATGCATAACTAAGGATGGACAGAGCTCAGTAGGTCCAAACAAGGACCTAAACAAGCTTAGATGAGGGCTCAAATACCTAGGCAATGCAAGCATACGAGCTAAGGCATAAGCTAGGCAACAATGTCATAACACGCAAAGGCACTTAAAGCATGATTGAGTAGGAACATGGAAATGCTAAATGCTCCAAAATGTCATGTTAAGTGATGCAAATCATGTACACAACACAAGTGAAGCATGCAATTGGTGCTCAAAGCTTGAGGCAAGCAAGAGCATTTGTTACTACAAGTATAACAAAAACATGAAGCATGTGACCAAGACAACCCAAAATAGTCCTAGAACATGTTAAAAATAAGTCTTAAACACATGCATGAAGGGAAGCCAGAATAAGCTAGCAATGGAGGGCATATGGCATGATGCATAAAAGGCAAATAAGGTGGATTACACGTACACCTATTAAGACCAAGCATGGGATGACTTAACAATAAAAATATCTCTCTTTCTCTTGGGTTCATATATGCATGTCCAAAGGCTTCATGCCAACTTTTCAAGGGCTTAATGCCAATCTTTCAAGGGCTTTCATGCCAACTTTTCAAGGGCTTAATGCCAATCTTTCAAGGGCTTTCATGCCAACTTTTCAAGGGCTTAATGCCAATCTTTCAAGGGCTTTCATGCCAACTTTTCAAGGGCTTAATGCCAATCTTTCAAGGGCTTTCATGCCAACTTTTCAAGGGCTTAATGCCAATCTTTCAAGGGCTTTCATGCCAACTTTTCAAGGGCTTAATGCCAATCTTTCAAGGGCTTTCATGCCAACTTTTCAAGGGCTTAATGCCAATCTTTCAAGGGCTTTCATGCCAACTTTTCAAGGGCTTAATGCCAATCTTTCAAGGGCTTTCATGCCAACTTTTCAAGGGCTTAATGCCAATCTTTCAAGGGCTTTCATGCCAACTTTTCAAGGGCTTAATGCCAATCTTTCAAGGGCTTTCATGCCAACTTTTCAAGGGCTTAATGCCAATCTTTCAAGGGCTTTCATGCCAACTTTTCAAGGGCTTAATGCCAATCTTTCAAGGGCTTTCATGCCAACTTTTCAAGGGCTTAATGCCAATCTTTCAAGGGCTTTCATGCCAACTTTTCAAGGGCTTAATGCCAATCTTTCAAGGGCTTTCATGCCAACTTTTCAAGGGCTTAATGCCAATCTTTCAAGGGCTTTCATGCCAACTTTTCAAGGGCTTAATGCCAATCTTTCAAGGGCTTTCATGCCAACTTTTCAAGGGCTTAATGCCAATCTTTCAAGGGCTTTCATGCCAACTTTTCAAGGGCTTAATGCCAATCTTTCAAGGGCTTTCATGCCAACTTTTCAAGGGCTTAATGCCAATCTTTCAAGGGCTTTCATGCCAACTTTTCAAGGGCTTCATGCCAACTTTTCAAGGGCTTCATGCCAACTTTACAAGGGCTTTATGCCATATGTTTCAAGGGCCTTAGTGCCACATGTTACAAGGGCTTTATGCCACATGCTTCAAGGGCCTTAGTGCCACAAGTTTCAAGGGCTTATAGCCACCATGTTTCAAGGGCCTCGTGCCACCATGTTTCAAGGGCTTATAGCCACCATGTTTCAAGGGCCTCGTGCCACCATGTTTCAAGGGCTTATAGCCACCATGTTTCAAGGGCCTCGTGCCACCATGTTTCAAGGGCTTATAGCCACCATGTTTCAAGGGCCTCGTGCCACCATGTTTCAAGGGCTTATAGCCACCATGTTTATGTTGCAAGATTGAACTTAAGGCCGTTATGTACGTAGCACAGAATCAGACTAACTATGTGAACTCTACATCTTTATATGCATTGCTATGTGTTATGTTTCAATTTAAGCATCGTTTTATTTATGTATTACTATTCACTGAGCTTGGCTCACTCTGTCTAATGTATGTTTCTGTAGGTAACCAACCAAGTGGTCAGTCCTAGTCATGACACCCGTTTTCTTTTGTCAACCTTCGTGGGTTCAGGCACTGCACGAAGCCATTTATTTTTGTAAAGTCTATTGAAATGTTGGCTTAATTTTGATTACCCATTTAAAGTTAAAGAGGTAGAACTTCAATGATTTTTATATAAGCCTAATGATGGGGCTGGGTCTGTACATATGGTTGTTTATCACCGATGCTACAACATATGGTTTGGAGCTTTATCTATTTTCCATGATGAATGTGATGTATAAGAGGTCCTGGCATGTAGATGTAGCTCAATGGAATTTATATGTATAGTTATTTTCCTACTTTATGCTTCCGATGAGGCCCCATATGTTATTTACTACAGGTTAAGTGTTCGTTTTCAAATGGGTCATGCCCAAACTTTTAGGGGCGGGTTTGGGGCGTGACACCACCAATCGCGCATTTCAATTCATGATGGCCGAGAGGCGAAGTTGTACAATTCAATGTAAATGAATGCACAAGTAAACACATAAAGCCTAGAACATTATCATGTTGAATCAAAGAGCGTCGGCAACCGGGGAATTAAGGCATGGATTCATCACTTGAAGTATGAAACATCCCTCTTTTCTTGTGTTTGGACTAACACCTATTCCAAACATGATGCAAGCAAGAAACATGGCATGCACAATGCTATGTAATGCAACCTTAGCATGCAAACATACAACTACATGGCATACTCAATGCAACTAGCAACCTATCATACACAATGCACGGCATAACATGGCATACACAATGCTAAATGCTAAGAACTAGATGGCATACTCAATGCAAGGCAATCATGAGGGTTCTTAACACAATGTAATGCATGCATGCACAATGCAATGCAACAAGGGTAACAATGTGCAATGCACCAAATATGCAACAACATGCAAACCATATACTCGATGGACTTAAACCGAAATGGACAGACCTCAGTCATGCCAAAACAGTGGCCATAATGCTAAAATGAAGGCACCGAAAACACATACAAGCATGCATGCCAATTGGCTCACCAACTAAGGCACTAAGGTGCAACTCTCAAGAACACTTAAAGAGTGAAAAACATGGAAGTGTAGCAACACTAAGTGCACTGAAATTAGATAATAAATGATGCCAAATCATTTAAACAACATGAGTATGGCATGCAATGGTTCTTAAAGCCTAAGACATGCAAAGAAGATTACACATGAGGCATGCAATACATGGCATAAATGCATGAACTAAGGATGGACAGAGCTCAAGTAGGTCAAAACAAGGACCTAAACAAGCTGAGATGAGGGCTCAAATACCTAGGCATGCAAGCATACGAGCTAAGGCATAAGCTAGGCAACAATGCATAACACGCAAAGGCACTTAAAGCATGATTGACGTAGGAACATGGAAATGCTAAATGCTCCAAAATGTCATGTTAAGTGATGCCAAATCATGTACACAACACAAGTGAAGCATGCAATGGTGCTCAAAGCTTGAGGCAAGCAAGAGCATTTGTACTACAAGTATACAAAACATTAAGCATGTGACCAAGACAACCCAAAATAGTCCTAGAACATGTTAAAATAAGTCTAAAACATGCATGGAAGGAAGCCAGAATAAGCTAGCATGGAGGGCATATGGCATGATGCATAAAAGGCAAATAAGGTGGATTACACTACACCTATTAAGACCAAGCATGGGATGACTTAACCAATAAAAATCAAAGTTATATTATGGAAAAATAACCCCAAAAGCACATTGAAATGATGGCTCGCAAGCTATGGCACGATGGCATACGCAATGGTTCATTTTAAGGCATAAAGGGGCCAACCCTCCAACACATTGAATAAGTGACAAATGTGAATGAATGGCCACAAAACATGGACTGAAATCACATAATGAATGATGCTAAATCATTCAAATATGCCAAGTAATGCATGCTAGAGGACTCAACACACAAAGCTAACAAGCTAGGTTGAACCATAGCTATACAAGGCAAGTCATGAATGACCAAGACAACTAAAATCAGACCTTACACATGCTAAAACATGAACAAAGTCTTCTCAGAGCTAAGCCAAAAGCATGCTAAAATGACATGTTACAATGTGATGCATGTTAGGCTATTTCATGGAACTACACTACAAGTGTATGGAGCATGTAAGGGCCAACCAAACCAAACCAAAACAGAGTCATGACATGGCAAAACATCACCGAAAACATGCTGAAATGGACTCAAATCAAGCTAGAATGACATGCTATTTCATGAAGCACATAAAGCTAGTTTGTGTGATTTACACTACAAGTGTATCAACCATGTATGGAGTGACCAAACTAAGCAAAAAAAGTGGTATGTCTCATCAAAATAACCACAAATAAATGCTAAGAAGAAGCCAACACAAGCTTAACAAAGGTGCTCAAACAGGAGGCATATGAAGCTAGTAAACAAAAATACAAGGAGAGGGGATAACCCTCTCCTATTTAGGACCTCAAAACACCATCCCCACCACTGAAATCTCTCTGGATTTCAGTGGTGAGAAGGCCAAAACAAGGTGGTCCCAAAGCTCACAAAAAGGGTACAAAAACAAGGCCAAACAAGGCCTAAGAGGGGGCAAACAACCCCAAACACAAAAATGACCTAAAACAAAGATCAAAAACATGCAAAAACAAAACTTTTATCAGTTAAGAGTTAAGCTTAAAACAACATGAAAGATAGGCTAAAAGCTTAAGCAAGAAAGGGGGATTTAAGGGTTAGAAACTCACCCTTGAAGACTTTCTTTATAACTGCAACTCCAGCAGGTTTTTCAAGCTCAAGGCCACCCAAGAACACCAAAACCAGGCCCTAAGCACCTCGGTTGCAAAAAGAAGGTGTTTGAGTGTGTGTTTGTGTGTTAAAGCAGGACAAAACTACACTTTTGAACACAAAACAAGAGCAAAATGAAGAAGTATAGATATAGGCTATATGTATAACTCAAGGGAGTTTTTTCTAAACCTAGAGGAGGGAGGAGGAGCCTCCTTCTTATAGAAGAGGAAAGGCAAAGCTTCTAGGAGAAGCTAAGCACCAAGGCAATCCCTTTATACAGTGTATGGAGGATGGCCATAATGTCCTCTAGCTAGAGGAAAATATCTCCAAAAAGGTGTCAAAAAGAAGCCGACCACTTGAAGTGGTCGGCTTGCTACTTAAAGTGGTCTCTGAGAGCAAAAACTGGTCGGCCATGGTGGGAGAGAGTCCAGGGCATGAAAACAATGCAGTGGTGTGGTGGCCGACCAGAAAAGATGCCCCAAAGACCAAGAAAGCTAGTTGTCCGACCAGAAAACTGGCTAGCAGAGGAAGAAGTTGTCGGCCAGGAGAAATACCGGTCTCCCACCCTTGTACCACGTTCCAAACAAGGAAAACAAGGTTTGTACAAAAAACTAACCAAAACGGATGCAAGACGAGAGACCGGGAGGCAAAGCACTCGGCCGAAAGCCCCGAAAACTAGCTGACGAGCACCAAAAGTGGTATGCAACCACAAAAGTGGTCTCACGAACCACAGTGTTCCTCTAGGTAAAGGCAACAAGGTGTGGTTCAAAAACCACACCAAACGGAGAACGTTAAGCGGTCCTGAGACAAGGCGTGCGGCCAAAGGCTCCAAAAATCGGAAACTAGTCTCCAAATGGGAAAAGTGGTCTACGACCACAAAGAGATGGTCTACAAGACCTCTCCCTCCATTCGGGAAGAGAAAACAAGATTCGGTTGACAAACTGAGCTGAAGCACAAAAGAGTTCAGAGGCCCGGAGGCAAGGCTCTCAGCCAAAACTCCAGAGACTGGAAACAAGCACAACATGCACCATCACTGAGCGCTCAATCGATGACATCTGAGTCTTAAGGTCGGTCAAAAATGGGGTGTCTATAGCTTCGTTGTGTGCGGTGAAGATCGAGTTTCGACACCGTTGATTTTGTGGGTTTCAACTCATTTTTTCTTCAAAACCTGAGGTAAGGATTTTCTTAGAGTTATATATATGTTTTTGCAAGATCTAGATGATTTTCGAAATCATCCTTTGATTAGCTTTGAGAAATTGATTGTTGATTTCAAGAAGATGAGTGATTTTGAAAGAGGGTTTAATTTCTTTTCATTTTAAAATGGAAATTGAATGTTTTGAATCATATTGATTGAAGGAAGATGATTTTGGGGAGATTCTTCTAAATATTTTGGAGATGAATGGTTTTGGTGAGAAAACCTAGAAATTGGATCTTTTCTTCGAAAGATGTTGTCATATTTATTTTGTGTACCAAAATAAATGGATGTTTTGAAAATTGTTTATTTATATATAAATGACGAATTTTGTGGAAAAAAAAGAAAGAGAAATGTTGTTTATTTTGGAAATTGTTGTCAAAATGTTGATTTAGTCTTGAATTGACTAAATTGTTGAGATTGCTCGAAATGTGGGAATTACATTATTCTCTTGAATGAATTGGATATAAAAGTATAAATATATATATATATATATATTCATCTTGTGAAATTGTGTTGAAAAGAGGATTAGGAATTTTGATCACAATGATATATTGTGTGGAACAATTGAATATGAAAGTAATATTGCATCGCATTATTAAGCATACATTGACATTTCAATTCATTAGACTGTGTTAAGCTTTGGAAATTTGTATTGAGAAAAGAATGTTGGGAAATGGGTTTTCATGAAATGGTTTTAGGGTAAATACGGTGGTAAGTCTTGTTTAAGTTGGCCTGAGTGTCCTTGGTGAAAGACCAGAAAGTTGCGCAGATAGGTGTCGAGCCTTCCAGTTAATACCAGTAAAAATGACAATTGGTAGTACTCGTATAGTCTACTTGCAGACATCGACCTAGGGATTACCAGAGTTGTATTTACCGCCCCTTGTAATTAAATTGATAAACTTTGAACAGTTGAAGTTGTATAACATCATTGAGCTTGATGGTTTTCAAAAGATGAAGAAGTGTTTTATTTTAAAAAAGGCATGGCATGGCATGGGCATTCATCTCTTGAGACTTGTATAAAATGTATATACTTTGTTAAGGATTTCTTACTGGGCTTTATGCTCACCCTACCGAATTTTTGTGCAGGAAAAGACGTGGTGAATCAGCCTAATTGAGGGCGTGGATATGTGTGTGTTGAGAGCACTAAAGTTCTCATTTGTTGTGATCCTATTTGTAAGCCAAGGGCTATGTATGTGTGGGTTTGAATAACCATTTTGTGTACCGGGCTTAAGCCTTGGAAGATTGTAAACCTTGAGAGTGCTTATTTGGTTATTTACTTCTTGTTAAATCAATGTAATATCGCATGAGGAACTATTATTATTATATAATGCAAGTATGGGAGGTTATA